TAAGGAGAAATGAGGAAAAGGTGGATTTAACAAGCTAAGTTAGATAGATTTTACAGTTTAAAAGAATATTCTTAATGAAATGTTATCCTCTATTGATCTTCATGGCCAACTTATTATTATTATTATTATTATTATTATTATGATTATTATTGTTATTGTTATTATTATTATTATTTAGACATTCTGCACATTCTGCCAAATAAACTGTGCCTGTCTAGACGCCAAGAAAGAAACAAAACAAAAGAATCAATGTTATATTACAGACTGTAGTCTATCTGTTTCTCTGCATACTTTGTTAGCCCCCTTTTACCCCGTTCTTCAATGGTCAGGACCCCCATGGACCCTCACAGAGCAGGTACTATTTGGGTGGTGGATCATTCTCAGCACTGCATTAACACTGACGTGGTGGTGGTGTGTTAGTGTGTGTTGTGCTGGTAGAGTGTGAAAAAATTCTGAAAAAATCCTAGAGGAAACACTGTTCGGTAACTTGCACTTTATGACTATTTTAACTGGAAATTAAATAAATGAAGGGTGGTCTCTGACTTTTGCACATCTGTATGTAATCTGCAAGTACAAAAACAGTATTTTTCCTTTAAACAATATATATAAACAAACTGTCTTGCATGAAAAGAGGGTTGTTTTTGGCTCCGTGCTGAAGTTGCTCCAGGCGTTTTCTAGCTATTTAATGAAGCTCAAGTCTATTGACGGTGATTTGGTGAGTCAGTACATTCAGAAATAATTGTGCACTGAACACTCAGTCCTATTAATCACTAGTCAACAATAATGAAGTTCTTAGCTTGCCAGGTTCTTTTGGAAACGTACATAGTTAACTTCATTAAAGTGGAGTTAATGTGGAGTTAATGTGGAGTAGTGTTTTGCGCTATGCAGATTTTAACTGGACTCGAACACCTTCAGAGATGATTCAACACAGTTGATTGGTGATTTCACTGTAAACAAGCACGCTTATGGAGATGCTGGTATCAGTTCTGGCCACCACAAGCTCCAAAACGATGTGTGGATCTGGCATAATTTTATCTTGTACCTAAGCGGAGTGGAATATGATTGGTTTCGGCCTGCAGTGATGGATGGAAAACCTTTTGGCTTACAGTGCTACGCTCCAGCGGTCGTCTATCATATTTTGAGTCGTGCCCTGCGTTTTCTGCACATGATTCATTAGAAGGAAATAATAGACTTCTTTTCTTCTCTAAAGGAGTAGATTGATGACAGTTTTTTGGTGTATTGAGTGCATGTGAGAGGATTAACTGGAAACTAAGCCTGTAATGTGTCCTGCGTTTTGGATATATATCCAACAGTGTGGCAGCTACATCATTTCCAATGCTGCACTGAAATGCATTTCATCAGAAAACACCAGAGATGGAAAGTAGCAGCTTACAGTTAGAGTACATGGGCATGTTTTTTTTTCCCTTTAATAATACATTTCTATCTATATTAAATCAGATTTTACTCCTACATGATTTCTAATTAAGTATTCAACTTTGCTTTTTCAGTTTTTACCAGAAAAATGAAGCTAGCTGGCTACTTCTTAGCTAAACTAATCTTAGCTAAACAGCAACTGTTAAATAGCTATTTTTACCATTTTCTTTTTGAAGTTTGAGAACAACAAGGATGACAGCCTTTTAATAAACATAATGACAGTGCTTATACATTCTATTAAGTCTCTTTTAGCTAGCTAATTTAGCTGATGTAAGCTTACGTTGAAGATGGTCTAATACAGGCAGCTAAGTAAGCTAAATCTAGCGAAACCTTGAGGAAATGCCCAAGTTATTTACTCTTACTCAACTGAATTATCGCTGCTCTTACAGAAGTAGTCATTTTTAGTACTCTTTTCACTCCTGCAAACACAAACTGCAATGTAGGCCCCGTCTCACAGAGCTTAGCCAGCTAACTTCAGACCTTAAGTATGGGACATCGCACACTGCGTGACAGGCTGTAGTGATGTCGTCGGCTCTTTGAGTCGGTTCTTCTAGGTGGAACATTCTGGCTCTGCCCCCTCATTATCCCCAACACCTGTTTCTTGTGTGTAACTTGATTCTGGTTTTGTTTTTTGTCATTTTCATGTACTTCCAAGTGTGTCTTGTTAGATGTTCTTTTGCTTTTTTCTCCCTTTGTTTGTTGATGGTTGATGGATTTGCCTGTCTCAGACATTTTGCTCATTTGTTGCTACATCTTTTGACCCCCTGCCTGAGACATTGGATATATTTCTTGATCTATTTTTTAGATTTCCATAGGCATTGGGTAATAGACTGTCAATCATATGCAGTGCAACATTGATGGAAATGCATAAAGTGAATCTATTTAGCAATAACTGACCTATTCAGTATAGCCAGATTTAGCAAGAGTGGTTGATTTTTTTTTTCTTGATTAGCGTCTTGATAGTTTTATGTTTTTTAAAATAGTTCTTTATGACAAATATAATTCATTTTTTGTTCAGTACTTCATAAGAAGGTAGATTAAGGAAAATTAAACATAAACAATATTGTGAATTCTTGTAAAAAGGTCTGGAAGAGCCATTTGTGAGCTGAAAAAGCCGATGGTGAGCTGAGCCGATTGACTTGACTCACTGAAAAGAGCCGGAACGTCCATCGTTACCATTCTCCCATATGTTGCAGGAAGGAGAAGTGCCATGAGAAGGCGCTGCGGATTGATGTTTCAAATGGGAGTTAGATTTATTTTTTGTATTCATGTAACTGCATTTTTTGTGGGGAACACTATTTCCATTAGGCTTTCCGTTGTGAAGCAAATGATTCAAAAATGTAAAAAAGGTACTAGCCATGTTATATTATAGCTAACTTCCCCTCGCTAGCACGAGCTAACTGCTAACCTAGGCGCGATTTAATGTGAGCTACCATGCGGTAATTTGACATTTGCACAAAACATTAGCAAGAAATGCAAGATTAGTAAGACTTTCATAAAGAGTCATAAAACAGCTTAACTGTGGTTGCATTTGTTAGGTAAAGCTGAAACTTGGTCAGGACCCTCACTAAGATGAGCATGCTTCATGAGACAGACCCCTGTTAGACCGGATGTCTTGCTTTGAGGCCTTTTTGTTGCATGAGATCTCTTTAGGTGAAACATAATTTTAGATTTACTTTTCTGCACTCTCTTTCTGAGAACACTAAAACACTACAGTCAAGAAAGACAGACAGCACTACAACTGCTCTCCCCCTGCAAACTTTTTCCCCCCAACCACCTTTTTTTATGGCCATACCAATGACAATAAATCACAAAGGCTATTTAGCTGATGACCGTTTGATTTCTTTTGGATCGTGCCTGAGGCCAAAACAGGCAGCAAACGCAGTGTCTGCAAATATGAAAGTTTTGGCTGCGTTTATACCTCAGAAGGGTCTTTATCTCACTTTTGATCTGCTGTGAAAAGGTGTGTTGAGTCACAGCTTTACAGCTAGAGAAATTTAATACACGTGCACAACTAGGCTACTGTTAGCCCAGAAGAAATTACATATGAAAAAATCCAGACCCAGACACGTAGTTATTAACTGTCCCTGACATGAGAGGCATTTTATACTTATGATTTTGCTGTCACCAGGAAAGAGAGAGAGAGACAGACACAGACAGGTTGCTAGATTTCTACTGTAGTACACAACGTTTCTGGATGTGCTCTGCTTTCTTTTGAGTGGCTTTCCGTCTGAGTAAATTCACTGTCTCATTTCAAAGGTAAACGCTGAACCCGCAGAAGAAAAGCCACTTGAAATGTAAACCTCAGTTTTCACTCCTCCACTGTGGCACGTTTGCCTTTTGAATTCCGATGTGGGCGAATAACAAAGAGACTCGATGTTTAGTCTAACACAAGGTAAATTTAAATCCAAACAGTGTTTTATAACTTGTAAACAGTGGGGATCAACTGTATTAGCATAGACTATTACACACTGAAAAAAATATATAATATACATGTAATAGGGTATACTTACACTAGGCCACATTGAGGTTCTCTATTAAAAAAATGCTTGCTGGAAGAGGATCTAATACACTGTCAGAAACAAGAAACACATACCTTTTTCTTCCACTCAGTGACCACTTTCTCAAAAAAACCCTACCTTGTAGCTCCATCTTGCAGTTAGAAACTGTAGCTCATCTGTTGATGCACACAGTTTGGTGTTTTTAATAAAGGGACTAATGAGTGGAAAGACAAGGTAGGTGTTTTTTAATAAAGTGGCCAGTTGGTGGAAGTATAAGTTAGGTGTTTCTAATAAAGTGATAATGTTTCTCTTTGTTTATATATATATATATATATATATATATATATATATATATATATATATATATATATATTCCTCCTTTCTCACACACAAATTCTATCTTTCTCTTCTTTATTTACATACCCTTATTCACTCGTTTCTCCTCACTCTTTCCCCTCCAGCTTTATTCTCTCTTTATCATTCTCTTTCCTTTTCTCCTGTCTCTCTCTCCAGTTCAGTTTATTTTTGCTCTCTTGTGTTCTATCTTTCTTTTCCAATATTGCACTCTCTCACCCTCTTTCTCTCCTTCTTGTCTTTCTTTCTCTTATTCTTTACCTTTCTGTTTCTCTCTTTCACAATCCCCCTCTCTCACTCATTCTCTCTCTTTCTGTCTTTTGTCTCTCTCCAGCTCTCTCCTCTTTCACAATCTATCCTGCTTTCTCTCTTACTCTCTATCTCTCTTTTCCTCTCCTACTCACACACTCTCTCCATCTTTCTCTTCTGTATTCACATACTCTCATACTATCATTTCTCCTCCTTCTTTCCTCTCCTCCTTTATTCTGTTTCTTTATCACTCTCCTTCTTTCTCCTGTTTGTTTGTCTCTCTCTCTCCCTCTCCCTAGTTCACTTTATTTTATCTCTCTCCTTTTCTGTCTCCCTTTCCCAATCTTGCGCTCTTTCTCCCTCTTTCTCTCATTCTCTCTCTTCCTTTTTTCTTTCACTCTGTCCCCTTTCTCTCATCCTCTGTTTTTTCTGTGTCTCTCCGGTTCTCTCTCCTTCTCTTGCTATTTGTTTCTCTCTTTCTCAATCTATCCTGCTTTCTCTCTCCCTCTCTATTTCTTGTCCCTCTCTATCTCACTTTCTTTCTTCTCCTCTGTCTTTCTTCTCCTTATTCACATACTCTCCTTCCCACATCCCTCTTTCCCCTCCTCTTTATTCCCTCTCTTTATCCGTCTCTCCCTCTTCTTCCCGTCTGTGTGCGTCTCTCTCTCTCTCTCTCTCTCTCTCTCTCAGTCTGAAGCTCTTCCTCCACATCTGCGTCCACACTCACGCGCACTCACTCACTCCTCTCGCGCTCTCAGTGGGATCGCACGCGCTCAGTGGGATTTTACTCTCTGTCTCTGTCCCTCTCTCTGTCTCGCTCTCTCTCTCCTGATGAACAGGAATACTCGCACTCTTTCTCCGGTAAGTGACCCCTTTTCATTCCTCCTTTTGTCTTGCGCTGTTTCATTTCTTTGATCCGCTGCGGGTCTCACGTTTCGTCTCGTGCAGGAAAAACCTGCGCGCGACTCCGCTCTGGCTGGACTGAAGTAGCACCGCGAGCCGCTGAAAGGTTTTGCTTCGTAAAATCTACACTTTTTCATAAAGGCCTGAAAACTGCGCGTGCTGCTTTCCCTCCGGGCCAAGTTTTGAGGAGACAAATCACTTTTCTAGTGCGTTGTGCTCGTGCTTAGCGTTTCTGAAGGTACCTGCAGTTGTGGTGTTTATTTTTTGGTCGCGCATGCGCATTTCATTCGCAAAATGAGGCGACAGTCCGCTACGGTGATATTAAAGGCTTTTAAAATCTTTCCAAGTCGGTTTTGTGTCCAGAGTGCAGCCCGTACACGGTGTTAGTGATCCAGCGTCCAGTGCAAGTTTGTTTGGTTGTGATTTAATCCACCACAGGGTGGCGCTGTCACAGAGTTTATATCATACAGCCTGACAGACTGATTCAGCCTTGAATAATGCTTAGAATAACTTTACGTTGGCTGGACTGTGATTGATTTGATGGTCTAATTGTGCTGAAGCGCTTCACTGATCTTCAGAAATGTCTGCTTTTGTACTTGTGAAATGTGCAGAGTAATTTGATTAATTATTCTGATTTTTTACAAAAATATCTATAGTAAAATTATATGAAACCAAACACTTTGTATACCCATATGGAAATCTGATATAGTATGGCAATATGTGGATGTCAAATATATGACACATATCAGCATATGAGTTTTCTTTATATCTAACTTACATGAGTCACCTATGTGACATATATGCCAACTCATTTGAAATGTTCAAATATGGGACATAAATTTCAGCCATAAATCAGCCTATACAAACATGTGTGTAACACATATATTTAACAATATATGATAGAAAACATTCATGTATATGGATGCCTTGTATTACTCATATATACTAACTTCATGTTATAGAATATATTGCCGCTGTCCAATGAAAAACAAGTATCTCCAAAATAGTAACTTTACAGGAGAGGGCAAAAACCTTCTTTACCTTCAATGTAAGTTAATAGAAAAAGTTTTTATTCTAAGCAATTTTGGACCATTTCTATTGGTCCAATCATCATAAAATTTTCACACAAAGGACAACTGCTGAGCTCAAACGATGCAGAAAAGTAAAAATTGCAAAAAATGGAGAGACATCTTTTTCACTGGACAGCGACAATAAGCATCTTCCTTGTTTCTTCCACATACATCCTAATGAAGAGAAAATTAATATAATAGCTACGTAAATTTACTCTAAAATTTCAACATTAGGCAATTGAAACATTATAATATTAAATAAATGAAAATATCGTTTCCTGACACATTTGAATATTTAAACATATAAAATAGTAACAATTACAACTGTAGGGATGTATGTATCATCATGGATATATGCATGTATTATGCATATATGTCTAATATTTGATACATATATATTCATAAACTTTAAAATATGTGCCTGACCTACTTGGTTATATGACCACATATCAGATTTCTGTATGATTAATGCTGTGTAATAACTCACTTCTAATAATCTGTTATGTCTTCACCTCTGTGTAGTACTTTGTGTAGTACTTTGTGTAGTATTGCCCAAGTTTACCTTAAGTTTTTTGTCAGAATACTGTAGAAATTCCTGTAGTATTACTGTAGATGTAAGCATCTATGAGTTGGTTTTGGGTTATTTTTGAATATGACCCCCACCCCAATTACAGTGTGTTAGACTTCTAAAAGTAGTATTAAAGTAGTATCCTCATAAATACTGTGTGGTGTAATGTGGCTACACCCTTTATAAAAAGAGGCGTTCTCTAAAAATAAGGCAGTTCTTCAGTTCAGTGGTTATATAGAACCATGACAATTCCAAGAATTTTCCAAATGCCTCTGGTTCTTTGCTTGCTCTTGATGGAGAAGCTGTTGTATATTTTTTTTAAAGCACCTTTTGAATACAATGATACCATAGTGCAACAAATGGGATTTTAATATTGGTACGGGTCATAGAACCTAGACCATAGAATCTTCTGTTGGTCCTCTATAGAGTGGAAAAACTGATATCTTGGCAAGTGAAAGCATCTTTAGTGTGGCCAGTCATGAATAGTTGATAGCTCTCATTGTGAGACTGATGTAAGAATACTCAAGTCATTTTATCCGGTGGTATTTTCTTATTGGCAAATAATTTTCTTTTTCAGTCAAAAATGCTTGAAATGTAAATTATCTACCAGTAAGAAAATAAGTTGAGTGATTATCCAGTAGCATAAGATAGTCAGGTAAAATGAAAGTAAATACAAATGACCAGAAATAGGTTGAGTAGTCTTCTAACATCCTTACAGCCGTCTCACAATGAGGAATATTAGTTAGTTTATTTGTCCAAAAGTCTGTAGACACCTACTTCTCCCATGTTTCTTCTAAAGTCAAGGGTGTTTTGCTGCAATATCAGCTTCTACTGAGAAGGCTTTAAACTAGATGTTGAATGTTGCTGTGAGGATTTCATTGCATTCAGCTGCAAGAGCATTAGTGACGTCAGGTACTGATGTTGGACGATCGGTTTTGGATCACTCCAACTCATTCCAAAGGTATTGGATGTCACTCTAGAAAACACAGTTCTACTGCTCCACAGTCCAGTGCTGGGGAGGGCTTTATGCTTGGCATTGGGCATGGTGACCTTAGGCTCATGCGCACCTGCTCTATAGCATCCTAATCTATTGGTCAGTGCTTTTCTATGGAGATTATACAGGCTGTGTTATTGTATGCCTGTGTCAGCAGCAATGAGTGCATCATAAAGGGGACTTCCACCCAATTTTCTAGATTTCTGTATAATTAAATAGTTAAAATGTTATAGTTTTTCAGAGAAGTTTCATGTCAAATGCTCGGTTCTAGAGAAACCTTGAGTCAGAATCATTCACAGTGGTGATGATAGGAACCAGACGTCCACCTCTATAACCTCCCTCAAATGAAGTGGTTATAAATACACTGCCTGATATCTGAGACATTGTTTTATGATAGTTTTGCGAAAGTTTTTGCCTAAAACATATTTTTAAAATTCATGATTGAAGGATACAAGCTCGGTGTTGTGAGGCAAAATAGTCCCCAAAGAAAACTTATTTTTCACAGATTTACCTCTATTTTACTATTATTAATATTACATAAAAAAATGTAGGAGGTTCACTGGTGGTTTGGCTAGTAAATTAAATGGCTTTATTTCTGTTGTAGACATCACGACCCCTGGTTCCTATCACCACCACTGTAAAGAAATCTGAGTCGAAAAGTTCCTCTACAGTGAACATTCAGAACGACTTTACATCACGGAATTTATGCAGAACATTTGAGCAATTGATTTCTTAAAGTAGCAGGATTCACACATTAGATAAGGACATATACAGTACATTGGCTAAATTGAAGATAATTTTTCTTGCAAATATGTCACTTTTTGCAGTGTAGAGCCCTTTTTTGTTTAAAGTGTTGTTACTTTCCACACCATTACCACAATTAACTTTTTTGTGGTTTTTCTTGCGTTGTGGCTTGTGCAGTGTGGAAGCAGCTTTGTGTCAGTATGCCGCTGTTAGCCACTGACATATCCAATCTCATTTAACACAATAGGACTTGTCAGGTCATTAAGCATAATGGCATCAACCTTGCACGGAGAGAGAGCATTCTCACCCACACGCGTGCGCGGGGCTGGACAAATTTAATGCGTTTCAGTTTCCCCGCAGTGTGCTGGGGCAGCTGGCCGAAAAATGGGAAGTGACTCTTTAAATAGGCGGCAAATGCAGTTGTTTATGGCTCTGAACATGAACAATAACTTTACCTGTAAGAGTTTTCACTCTCAGGAGGATGTGTTTGAGTTTACAGCAGATTGCAGCATCTTTTATTTTATGCATGCACACAACGCACGCTCACGAACAAACATACGTCAGCAGAATATACGGTTCTGTCTAGACGCTGTAAAGTATCCCAGTTCTCTTCAATGTGTTTGCATAATAGATGTTTAAGATGTTTGTAGTGATGGGAGTAATTTTAAAAAGGAATTTCTCTGACTTTTAACAAAAGTCTGCATAAAGCCCAATGCTGGGGGACTTTATACCCTTCTAGCCAAGCTTGGCATTGGGCATGGTGACCCTAGGCTCATATATGGCCTTCCAGAGCATCCCATTCTATTGCTCATTGCTTTTCTATGGAGATTATTCAAGCTGCGCTATTGAATGCCTGAGTCAGCAGCAATGTGAACACTTTAAAGGGGAATTCCTCTGAATTTTCTAAATTTCTGTATAATTGAATGGTTAAGATGTAGACATGTATTCAGAGTGGTTTGATATGAAATGGTCTGCTCTAGAAAAACTTACCAAGTCAGAATTGTTCACCGTGGTAGTGATAGGAACCAGACGTCAATCTCTAAAAGTTCCTTCACAGAAAGTTCTTGTATAATAGTTTTTAAAATGCTGCCTGATGTCTGAGGCGAGGTTTTGAGCCTAAAATATATTCTGTGAATATATCCATTCATGGCGGAGGGGTACATACAGGCCGTTGTGAGACAAAATAATCCCCCCCAAAAAACATATTTTTCAGATTCATCGCTATTTTACCATCATCAACATTACATATAAAAACTCAGAAGACACATGTAGGTTCACTGGTGTTTTGGATAGTAAATAAAATAGCTGTATTTGTGTTGTAGACATTGTGACCCCTGGTTCCTATCGCCATCACTGTGAAGAAATCAGAGTTACAAAGGACCATTTCACACCAAACCACTCTGAATGACTTTGTTTACATCTCAACCACTGAATTATGTGGAAAATTTGGAAAATTCTGTGAAATTTCCCTGTTTAAAGTACACTGCAATATAAAACGCAAAAGGAACAGTACCATTTCAAATATTAAAAGTTACATAACCACATACAATTACCTTCTTTTGTAAAAGTTTCAGTGGAAGTA